TCGCTGAACTCGAATTGCGAGTCAAATTCTTAGGGTATTTAGGGTTTTTCGGTTCAGGGTTAGCGGTTTTAGGATTTTGATGTGCAGGGTTTAGGAATGTTTAGGGTCTATAAGGCTTATTTGACTTACAACATCTTTTGGTGCAGAACGAACGTTCGCACGCTGCGATGACTAATGTAGAAGTCTGACCAAGTAATACAAGATTGAACTGCAAACTCTAAGCTAACAGTCGTAGTTCCCCCAACCCGAACAAACTCCACACCCTGTGATCGCACGCCGTGTAAGCGTATTACATGTGGAGCTCTAAAGCAACAGGAATGTCCAGGCTGTCGGTTTCTCTAGGTAAAGGTTCGGAGAACGCTTGGGAGTGTGCCGACAAATTGAATACTCTCAATGTAGGTTCAATACATGTTTAAACCCATAAAGCCTTGAGTCTGAAACCCTAAATAAAGTCTTGAGTCTGAAGGTCTAAGCCATCGGATGTAGCTCGCGGTTCAAGTTGTAACGATGTTGGCAAGGATCCTGACAATAACGACAAAGACTCAAATGACTGGAAATGTCTTAAACAAGCATAACCATATCCGATTCAGTTGCAAATTTTATACACACAGATACTACCGTATTCCATCACTACAACACCTACTAAGGACCTACTATTACACTGTAGTCCAGCTATACACAGCAAACGGTTCGAAGCCTTCGAAGCGAATATGATTTAATGCTTTAGTCATGACATAGACGAGAATCTTCCAGTGATCGGTTTCACCGCATTTTTTTGATCATGCCGTGGTGTTGCTGCACATGCGGGAATTCTTGGTGGTATACCACCTCGGAGTCAAAGAGAAAAACACTGGAGCGCTGCAGATCTCGGCATATACAAGAACAAGCTTTGGTGCTACCGCAATCACCAGCTTGCATCAAGAACTCACTGTTCATCATACTCTCTCATTCTGGAAATCACGGCGTCCACGCTCCACTTCTCAAAGAACTGAAGCAGGTCGGTGCCACGAAAGTCCACGTCGTCTACGGGTTCAGATGTAATGTTGACCAACATATGGGACGAAACCTGAAGCCAAATGAGATTGTTCATTTCTCAGTGCAGCACCGATGGTTCTGGAGGCATGAGTGTATGTTCGATTTTGCTCGTTTAATTTTTTTCTTTGAAGACTAGCTGTGAAACTGCAATAAACAAACATAGTTTTTGGTGTAAGGATAAGCGCTTCAAATCACAGACCGGTTTTGCAGGTGCTCAGAATTGCTGCGCCGCTATCGGTCCGATCAACGTTGCGCAGATATTGGATATGTCTGGTTCCTTGAAGCTGACGCCAGGTTCCAGAAGACAGCAAGAGAAATTGAACACCTCATGACAGCTTTGCCTCGTGGAATAGACATTGGATGGCCCGGCTGGCGTCGGCAATGGAAAGAGGGCACCAAACTGGATTGGTTCTATAACATGAAGTTTGCCTTGGAAGGTTCCCAAGCGATTTTTTTCCGCAGAAACGGCTTGTTGCAAATGTGGCAAGCAACATGTCAAGGCAACAGGTACCGTCATTTTGACTTGATGTTATCAGAACGGCTGGCCAACAAATTTTGGTATCCGCCACAGCCAGAAGTCTACACAGCGACACATTTATCACAGATTTTTGGCAAAGGCCAAGCGATGAAAAGCCCAGGAACTGTGCATAAGCGTCCTGCGGTAAGACAGCAGCCTGCCGGAAAGGTTCGCAAAGTCGCGATGAAAAGATGAGCGATTCTTTGTTGTGGTATGAAACAAAAGAAACCTGGATCACTGGAAGCTCTCTTGGCTACTACTACTACTACTACTACTACTACTACTACTACTACTACTACTACTACTACTACTACTACTCTACTACTACTACTGCTACTACTGCTACTACTGCTACTACTACTGCTACTACTACTACTACTACGACTACGACGACGACGACGACTACTACTTCTAGTGCGACTACAACTTTTTCTGCTTCTTCCTCTGCTCCTGCCACATCTGCGAGTTGTAGTACTGTACTAGTACATTGTGCCGGCAATTTGGAACCGTCGTGGTGTAATCTTGCTCCCCCCTCGGCGAGCAAGATAACCAGGATGACAGTCACTATGCCCGAAACCATGGTTACCAAGCAATTAGCGTTTGCATTTTGCCGGCACGATGTACGTACCAGTACAGTACTTGTACTAATAACTGCTAGTACGACTGCCTGGACTACGACGACGAGGAGTACTACAACTATGACAACTATACCGACGCTTTCACCATTTCTACCACTGCTGCGTCCACTGTTGCTACTGGTACCACGCCTGCAGCAGCAACACAGATTCTGTGCAGGGTTTATGGTATTTTTGGAGCGGGCTGTCCCTCGAAGAGGTGGGCGCCGCAGGTTCTGGGTTGTCATGGAGGTTATTGAACGGTGCAGCAGAAGCCTGCCGCAGGTGTGCGGCCTCACTTTCACCTCACTTCCTGCCAAAGGGCCCACTCCGCATCTGGCCGGAGACTGCCGAACTCCTCGCCGATGATCCCATGGCTGGGATACCTGCTGCAAGGCTGAAAGAAGACAGCTGACAGCCTTCGCAGAAGAAACTGCTGCGCGACAGAACCAGCCATCACCCTGTCTGCGCCGTGGTCGTCTTCACCAGGCGTGAATACAAGACATGCTCTTTTTTGTCTTCGCCTGGAGTGTTGAGGACTGGATGTTGCTAGTTGGAGCCTGAACCTATGAACCATGCCTTAGCTCGATGAGGTCCCGCATGGCTTTCTCTGCTTCACGATCTGCGATGGTCACCTGCCCAGGCAGAAAGCGTAGCACAGTCTCAGGTCTTCGGCCCATACATGCTCACCATGTTGTGGAGTCAGGTCTTCTAGCAGTCCCTTCAACATTGTCTAGCTTAGTCGCAACATGGCGGGAGTCTCAAATCGTGCACACACCGCACTGGAATTGCCGCAGGAGTTTCAGACAGAAGCCAAAGTTGGGAGGCTAGAATACGGTGGGTTTGGCCTGGTTCAGGGCAGGAAAGCTCAGTTTCCTCTATGCCTGCCAACTGAGCTCGAGTTCGATTCGTGCACACCACCGACTTCTATCCAAGCGGCAGGACTCTCTGCCACGGGACGGTCATACTCCAGCTTTGATTCCACCTCAACCTGCTCGGTCCACCACTTGCCACACAGATGTCTATGCTGCTTGCTGTGGACTGCCCTTACACACGAAGCATCGAAGCACATCGAACCACCACGTGCCATATCGAAAAGCCGCCAACGGCGGTGAAGCACCTTTATTTGCGGGTTGCTCTATATGGTAGCCCCCACGCCCCTCTCCCCTCCGTTTTCGTGTTGTATGTATAGCCTCGTTCCGTGCATGCCAGAGCATGACAGTTAAGAATTCAGGCGCTTCGCACTTGCATGATTCGGCTGGCACATCTCAAGACAAAGCTCTCTTCACAGCATCCCTAATGCTTAACAACAAGCTTGCTCAAAGCTTGCCCCTTCGCGCGAGCTTGCATGCGCTGCTCGGGTGTGTCGCAAGGAGCCGGCAACCGTAACCAAAGCATGCGATTTATTTTGGTCAGAGAATGACCCTGAAATAACGCTCGAGCGTCCCGAGCAGGCGGCGGCAACAAACGTGTTTCCTGAGTAATACTGTACACCCAACAATAAACCCCAAACAAGCCTTTTTGGATTTATTCTTTGCAGTGCTATTTCGGGCTTGTGTGGACTCCATTTTTTCCGTTTTGTGTTGGCAGCCGTCACGCGGCTGCAAATGCATGGAATAATAGGCATGGCATCCCTCCCCGCACATACCCTCCCTCCATCCCGTGATGATGATGATCATCATTATCATCATCATCAGCCGAATCATCATCATGACAATCATCCTCAGTTGCCATCCTGATTTTCAACTGGCAACCTGATCACAATCAACGTTCTAATCTCCATCTTTTTGCATTCATGACGGTGTGTTGCCGAGCGGTGCAGTACACACTCGATTGCGCAGTCGCACACCCACACTTACCCTAACACGCAAGTAAGCAGGCAAGAATGCACACACGCGCGTAGCTCCACTTCTATGCCGATGCAAATGCAGCTATGTAAGCTTCACCAGAACTCATTGCAGCATCAAGGCCGGCTTGCGCCAGTATTGTCGAATCACGTTCCCGGCAGCATCAGCCAGTTCCTTGTGCGCAGCTGCATTCCACTGCGACAACCCAAGAAAGCCAAACCCAGATCCCAGAGCATGCGCTTACAAACCCAATGAGTTGCTGGACAAGCGATGTACAATTGGCCCGAATTGTCTGGATGTTTCAATAGCACCAGCTTATTGCTCCGGTTGGGTGATGCTCTGCAGCTCAAATCAAATCTGATCGTGGCGTCACCCTTGTGATCCTCAATCCTGGAAGCTCTGGATTCCGCAATGCGAACGTGTTCTGATTCAACCTGAAATCTTACAAACGATCCGCCCACCCCAAGTTGTTGGCACAGTGTCCTCAGAAAAGCTCACGAGATCAGCACTAACCGCCAGGGACGCCATGGCGAGATGCTCTGTAGAGGTGAGGCTTCAAAGCTAAGATCACTTGCCTAGGCTTGGGCTGAGCGAAAACGTCTGCAACTCAATCGTCTCGATAATGGTACGTGTGAAACCTGGACCCACAAATCTGAGCACAACAGCCGACTCAGCCGATATCTGAAAGTAGATCTTTGGCACGGGCTCGTCTGAGAATGGCGGAGGCCATCAAGTACCTAGTCCTGAAGCGCCATGCAAACCCATGTGGGTGGGGCGGGTAGATGTATGCAGCTGCGCGGATAGAACCACCGATCTGCAGGCAAACACCAGCACGCGCGTGAGGTCAAAAAGAAAGGTCCGGCAGCCAGATCTTCCTCCGAACGCGGACACCCTGCAGAAACCTGGCGCACCCCGGACCCCTCTACAGCTGGCAATGTCACTGCGACAGATTGCCCGAAGTTTTGGGACTCCCTGGCATTCCCTGGCCTTGCAGAATCTGCACGGCGACGGCCCGATCATCACCTGCCTTGCAACAGCCCGAACGATAGATTCGCTGCTGACAGGCTGATGGTCTGGGTCCATAGCCTACATCAGATAGGTCAAGCCTTAGATGCCTTAGGACTGGCCTGACATTTCGATACGGAATTCTCAGAAATCCCCAACACCCCGCGACCCAAAAGAAAGGCCCGTGGAAAGCCTTTCCGCAGTTTCCACGTAGAGTGGACAGAAGACTGAAGATAACCGATGTCAGTGAACCCAAGATCTGGCAAAGTCGGCCGTAGTCGCAGATTCAATTACAGCTGCGAAATCAGTCCAATGAGCGCGGGAGCCCAATGCCGTGCGATGAAGAATAATAGGGAACAGCAAATGCCAAAGTTGATTTGCAAATGAATTTGTATCACCATGTTCGCCGCGTTCGTCAAAGTTCTGATTGGTTCGAACGTGCAACTAGAGCTTTCTACTCAACGCTACGAATAAACATCGATCCGTTTCGAAACAATCCAATCAAGATCCAGGATACCTGTCCATCTTGGATAGACTGCTGTGGCTGTCTATCACTGAATCACCATGTTCGCAAGCCCATTTCATCAACCCGAACAAGAACCTTCAGAAATGGTGCTGCTTTCGCTCATGTACTTGCTAAAAGTCTCAGCCATATAGGACAGTATGGCTGTAAGCTTTCCCGTCCTAGTTACTATAAGCAACAAGTTCCTGTAGGACTGGCTTCCCCGTTTTGTTTTCGAGCTGGTAAAGCATCGGGTCTCTTTCGGATTTTCAACTCTCGTAACTTGGACTTTCCAAGTGAAGCTTCTACCTGGGTGCCCAAAGCTTGCGCCAGCTTGTCATGTCGGCATCCGAAGTGTTGAGCTTGCTGCCTGGATACCGCTTTCCTCCGCAGCTCAGACCTTCAAGGTGTATGGCCTCCCCTTAAGGTGCCGTTCCACACTCCTATGTGCATCCAGAAAGGTCTCGTTTAGAGGCTCCTCGTAGAACCAGCGTCGCATGCGACGGCCACTGGGCCACATGGCCATAATCACGTTCTTCACGTAGCAGTCCACCTCGTCTAAGCGGAACAAGCCCAACTGCGAAGCCACAGACCTGTGGGTGTAGATTGCGTTGCCTGCGCCGTACCATATCAAGTTATAGCCTAGTGGCCGAAGCATGTGCACCTGGTAGCTGAGTGAGCAGCCCCAGATTGTCAGCCGGCCCCATGAGGCGAGCTCTGCATGCTCGTGCAGCGCGAAACGCAGTGGCGGCGGCAAGCCATCGAAGACCTCCAAAACAACCACTTTGGCGGGTACCTTAGACAAGAAGGAAAAGGCAATGTCGCAGTCTGCGCCATCCAAATCCACCTTCAGCACATCTAGTCGCGGCCAACGCCATGATGAGTTTCGGACCTTCTGGAAACTCCTGGGTAGCGCCCCGATGATCTCTGGCATGGTCTCTTTGCTTATTTGTGTGCAAAGCAGCCGAACATGCGGCAAGTTCGCCTTGTGGAGCTGGCAAATGTCAGGATCCATCTCCACCCCAACAGCAAGCAAGTCCTCTGGCGGGTCAAGCAGCAGTGGCGCCAACGGGTCTTCCAAGATGCCGTCTCGAGCACCCAAATTCACAAAGCTGCGGAACACGCCGTTGCCACGCTCCCACCACCTGAGAGCCAGCCACGGCACTGCCGTAGTGTCTGCCATTGCTCCTGCTAGGGCCGCCTCCGTCTGCACGCACGAGCGCCCAGCTCGCCTAAGGGCGCGAAACCGCGGGCGATTTTCTAGGTAATGGGTCAGCTCCCAGATACCTTGTGGAATCGCCTCTGCATACTTGTGGAAGAGGCGGTGGTAGAATACCGGCTCAGTTTCGGCATCATCGTTCACTCGTGCTGGTTGCATGAGGGGTGGACTCGTGGGCAAGGAGATTGAGACCATCTTTCCCTGTTCTGTACCTATGAAGCCCATAGCCTGCATCTCCTCCTCGGGATTTGTCCCAAGGATCTGAAAGGTATCATATCCGAAAAGGCAACGTCGTCCGAACTCAAGCGGGGCACAGGGGTCCAGTGCGTGCATCACACCGTTGACAGAGAAGGACCGGGGAGGCAGCAGGAAACCATAGAATCCGACTTCTTCTGTGTCCCTCTGACAGCACTTTGCATCGATTTTCTCGGAGAACTCGAAATTGCAAGCGCTGCCCATTATTTCCCGGTAGCAACACTCTTGAAGTAGCTGCCACGAAGTTGCGAAGCCCAGCAATTGGGTACACCATTCAACCATCGGGAGACCATCGTGAACAAGCGAGGACATTGAGATGCTCCCCTGAGGGTGCTGAACAACTCTCCCACGGACGGATTTGTTGAAGTTGGAGCTCTCTGGTGTCACACGGCAATTTCCCTTTGAGCCGCGGTCTTCTTGGCTCTTGGGGCCTTGGGAGCTTTGGTGCTTTTGAACCGGGTCGGCAGAAAGCAAGCACTGCCAAACCCCGTCGTGAAAGCTATAAAGCTCACCCGAACACCACGACGATTGGAATGCTGGGCTGCTACTACTACGACGACGACTGCTACTACTGCTACCACCACCGGTATACCGCTACTACCACTACGACTACCACTCGTCGTAGCAGGCGTGCCCTTTCATGTCCAGTCTATGTTTGAAATCTATGACAGAACGGAAACTACAGCTGATTTCCAGGTCCTCAGGTTGAACACGGCCTACATGGAAAAGAGCATTTGCTGCGGCCCAGTCGTCTACGTAACAAAGAAACAAGTTTAATAATGTCCGCACAAACCAACACCCACCCCCGGACGGACGGACGGACGTGCGCACGCACGCACGCACAGCTCTTCCTTCCTTCCTTGCTTCCTCCCTTCCGGGGGGCAAGTGGAGCCGCGATAGTGGCGCTCCCGCCTTTCGAAATCGTAGTCAATGGGACGTTGTCTGCCAATCTGTCTCTTTTGCTTGCTTTTTTGCTTGCTTGCAAAGGGCATGGGTCTGTGTCTCTCGCTGCCTCTCTGTCTGTCTAGCTGCCTCTCTCACTCTCTCTGTCTCTCTCCCTCTGGCTTCGCGCCCGTCTCGGGATCTGTGCGAGGATGTCAAAACAAAAGCTGTTCACATCTTTGAGGGCTAGTAGAGCCATCCCGTGTACGATAACATACCTGTGTCTCTTACATAACAGTATCCTGTGAGTGCACACATCTACAGAAAGACATACATACATTGGATGCATACGTGCATATTGCGCCGTATTCACAACTATATGCACCAGTGCATCAAGCTATGCTGAAACTTGGCACTCTTAGGTGTGATGGACATGATGCTGCGGATAACCCGAGTCATGAACACATATGATGGCCATTGGCGGTAGCACGAAATAAGCAGGAACTGTGCAGAATACACAGTAGACAAGATGGAGGCACCTGAAATCATGCATGCGCCCAGGAACCGGCAACCCAGGAGCGGGCAAGCTTGAAAGTAGGTTGTTATGCTACCTATACATCTATGCAGGACTGAACCAGAGTGTCTAGCAAGATATCGAAGCTTGCAGCCAGCACTGCCCGGTATACTCTAAGCAGGGTGTAATTTATCGCATCACAACAGGACGCTGGACACATCTGGGAGTGGTAGCGTGTAGCAAGAGTGTATGCTTTGAAGTTGTGCAAATTGGCAGGTGGCAGAACATCCACCGGATTAAGGCCTCAGAGCCCTGTATTTGTATCTGTCAAATCCGTAGTACTACAAGACACTACAGAATTAGCGAAAACGTGTGACCTTATATGAAAGTCCGTCATAGGCATGCCAGTACAATGTAGAGCAGGGTGCAGTATGCAATGGTTAGGCTTGTGAGGTGACATGTTCACGGTCGAAACATAAGTAAGATTGGCATGTGCTTCTGTCAAGAAACTATTGAGTTCGAATGACCGTGTTCGCATGCTGTGATGCACTACATAGACAGAGCTGGGTGAAGTACCATAATCTACTGTCGTTTGCGTGTACTGGCGAAAGTCTGTACGAAGGTTCGAGACCCTCAGGTCGCAGCCCTACCCTTGACCAGGAGTATCCACGAGTACAACATACGAACACAAACAACTACTAATGCGTCATAGCACCAGATATTTGGGGAAGATGCGCGAATGTACTTTTGAGTGAACTTTCAGTGTCTGTATCATACATATATATATATATCTATCTACAAATGCAAGTATACGTATGGATGTTTGTGTGCTTATGTGTATACATACATACATACTTACTAACATACTCATATGTGTGTATATATATATGGGAGTTTCCGAAAATAGGGGACCCTAATATAGTACCTTAAATAGTAGGACCCTTATCATAAGGAACCCCATTTAAGGTACCCCTAGTTTCGGGATCTCCCATATGTATTTTTTCTATACATATTATACATATAGATATTGTATGGTATGCTTTATATGCATGCATGTATACACACACCAACAGGACCTGTTGACATGTGGCGTGGTGTGTAGATCACGGTGCAACCCAACCTGCTCGAGCACAGCCACTGCCCTTCATGGTCATCCACTCGCTTGTTCGCTTTACTCTTGAGGCTTACTCTCATAGCTTTGTGAGGGCACTTTTCCTGCGGATGCTTCCTGAGATCGGGAAGCCTGCACCTGTACAGCCTGCAGGCCTTCGCGCAAGGGTTTCCAGATGGATCCAAATAGTTCCGGTTGAGCAGTTACGCTGCAGGCTGGCAGCCGCCCTCGACCCAACTGATGTCATAGATGGCCCGCGTGCTGCCCACGCGGTTCCATTTTCGATCCTCTGGGCGCAGGCACGAAAAGTAGCCTTTGAGCTGCAGGGCCTCACACCCAGTCTCCCAGTTGGCCAGCCAAATGCCCACGGCCACGGGGGTGTAGTACCTGGAGCCACTTAGCGTTCGGCTGCTCTACGATATGGAGTAATGCAGTTCGACAGCAAGGTGCATCGGAGCCGTCATCTCTGTCAGCATTGAAAAAGCCATTGACGGTTTTATGCTTCCACCCCAATCCAGATTTACCCCTAAAGCCAGCCGCAGCCGGCCCGGTGCAGGTGCAGACGGATCATGGTGCTTTCATGGGGTTGATAGGCTTGGTGTTTAAAGTAACTTTAACAGGGAGTGGCTTCAGCTGCCGTTTCAATTTTTGCTTCCGCAGTGGTTGGTGCAGCACAAATTTTCTGGCTCTGCCATACCTGCCCTAACTGGGTTGCCTACTTACCCAAAACCTGCTTGGTAAGTGCACAAAAGACCTCCAAACCAAGTCGACTAAGCTGACCTAGCCTAACCACCTGTCTACAGTACCTGGAAGTTAACTGTATGTGATTGTTACATGAGCTATCTGATTATGGCCGCCCCAACTTTCCAAGTACTGGGGTTGCGTGACGACGTCAAATTCGGTGTCTAACCGTCTTTCCTAAAGTAAAGGACTTGCCCGGGCACTTTGTGCGATCTCCGACCGCCCGGATTGCTACTCTACGGCAAGCTCAGGTATTCATGGCAAACTTGCAGGCAACGCACCTTGAAGACGTTGCAGCATAGAAGTCAAAGCGTCCCTTGCCAGGAATTGCCACACATCGCACCTCAGGGACTGAGCGAAACGATATTTCAGCTTCAGCATGAGAACTAACGATCACAAGCTACAGGTATTTCGAAGGTACGCGTGCCACCTGATACTTGTGCTGAGGCTGCGTCCTAACGAGCCGTCGGAGGAACCGTGAAGTTGCCAAAAAAAATTTGGTGAGACAGCGACCTCCCTCAAGAAATCCCAATTATAATGATCCACGAGTCAAGGCACGGGCTGTGCATTTGTGGATGATGGAGCCCAGCGGCATGCTTCGAAGCAGCGCGAGTATCGCTGGAATTGAGGTGCAGTAGGGTCTAGGGGTGTGTGAAATTCCGCGTCCGAGAAGAACAGAGCTCGTAGCGGCAAGCGCGATCTGCTTTTGAAGCGCTGCATTGCAGCGACGAAGGACGGGATGTAATGCGATGCGTAGCCGATTGCACAAACGCAGCAAATGCGGTCCACGTCGTGACTGTACTGCGGACCCAGCGCGGCGATGACGCTTCGATGATCGGTACCAGGTCCTATCCAGCAAGTAGCCACTCCCAATCGGGTTGCGTGCAAGACCACTTTCTGCAGACTTCGACCCACATCCAGGATCGCCATTCGATCGTATTGCCTTTCGATCTGTGCCACACTGCACACGCACACACAAAAACAGAATCGGAGATTTCTCACTAGAATTTCAGCCGACAGGATGTGCTCAAGCCCTGCCAAGGCTCCGAGGAACTAGCGCAACCAAGAAATCTGATGCTCCCACCACGGGCCAAACAGTGAGTGGTGCGTGCACATACACCAGCCGGATCTGTGATTTGCCGAGGAGGTAGGATGGCTCAGTGTAGACCTGGCATACTTGCAACAGCTCATTTAAATGGTTAGCTCTGAGTCTTCGGGACTGAAATGACCGACAGGACCGCCGCTGCACCATGACATCGAAGGCACTGCCGTAGCTCGGTGTCTGGGGAAGTGGCTCGGCAGGGTGGAGTCCCAGTTTGACTGTGGCCACGTCATACACCAGCAAACCGGAAGGGACAGCCGACACAAAAGAGCATAGTCTGTGCAACCACAGGTGATCCAGCCGATTCGCCCCTACGGAGGCCAGAATCGACACTGCGGCAAACGCAAGATTGGGAAAGAACTGCAGCCATCCCGACCAACGCAGGTAGCCATCGACATGCCAAGGCAGTGACAGTTCCATTTGCTTTCGAGGCTGTTTGCATCCGAAGGCCCTATACACCTACACCACAACACTTCGTCAAAGAGGTCACCAGGCACTGCTCATCTTAGGTCCTCTAAAATCTACACTGCAGGGATTTAATCAACAGGTCGAATTTCAATAATACTGGTTGTACTCATGACTCATGATTGTCAGTCAGACTGGGACAGGAAGCAAGAAAAGCCGCAAGAATGCAAGAAGGCCTTGCTACGGTTCGCTTGTACGCAGCGAGCCTGTCACCAAGCGCCTCCCTGATCCCCCCTAAAGCCGTATGCAAGCTAAAGGAGCATTTTGAACACAGCCGGCATAGAAAGGGTCTATGCATGTCTATGCGGGTGGGCGAGCATAAACTGAGGACAGCTGATGCCGGAGCCACGCGAAAGCAAGCTCATGCCCAGACCTGAACCACAAATTGACTCTGAACCGCGAAATCACGAAGGCAGGAGCCGGTAGCTCTCCTGGCACCCATTGGTCCGAGCCTGTGTCTCGTTGGGCCAAGCCACTCCAGCTCCTGCCGCGCAGTCTCAGCCAGAGTGCTTTCAATCAGCCCACGGACAGATCGGCTTCTACTGAGACGTACACATGTGCCCTGGAACGCAGTTCCCTTCCAGGCGATGGCCCGTTGGCATGTGCAGAACAGAACTCGTGAGTCTCACACCATGAAAGCGTGCAGCCGGTCAGCGGCCTTAACAAAGATCACCTGACACTGGGGATCGCCACAAAGCGCTACGAAGACCCCAACCTGATTAGGATGAGCGCTTCATGCAAACGTGGTACAAGTAGCCCCTCAGAGCGGGGAGGGAGCAGAAGTCGGACAAAAATACAGTGCTTTTCTTTATGGGCGGGGGTGGAGGAGGGGAGAATGAATTAAGACCCGTTGCAAATATACTGCATATGCCGTCCAAAGGATACAGGTTGACCGAGATAACCTTCCCTCTGCCATATTTTGTGTTGCTTGTGAAACTTAATCTGTTTAAAATAGTGAAACGCACGCGAGGCAGCATCTTAGCACAGATATGCACTTGCCATGCCCATGCATGTCCATGCTCTATCGGCCGTTCTTTCGGACAGGCAGGAGGAACCCTGCCACCATGCACTTGCGATTCGGGGTTTCGGCGCCCGCGGCGAGAGACTGCCCGGGTTTCGGGCTCAGCGCTGACATTCGGGCTGCGCAGGCAGGCTTCATCGCGAACGCGACGTAAATTCACATACCGGGCCCTTGTGCGAGGCAGTCTGGTGCACTGTTGCTTTACAAAAATTCCTGAGACGGGAAGGATGACTGTTGTCGCTGAAACGACAACAGCTCGAAGACAGGATGCTACAACGACAACTGCCCGAATCTCGGTTGCTTCTGCACGCGACGTGGGAGCTAACATGTTTCTTGGATGTGTGGCCTCCAACTCTATCCAGATCTGCAGTCCGTGTGAGGTTGTAGAAATGTAGCAAAGTCCATGGACTTCACAGGCATGCGCCTGAATGTGCACGCGAGCAAAACTCAGCTCGGATGACAACCACTGCCGAAGGGGACATCGGAGAGCTACATCGGCCACGAGAGGGCCTCACGGTCGGCAAACGGATCATCCCACTCCATGTTCTGGCATTGCCGCGTGGCCACACGCATCCAATTTCTGCATGTGTGCATTTGGCCCTCCAGCCCAATCAAGTTCACGGCCTGAGCTATCATTAGGAGGAAGCTTTTGGTAGACAATCTTGCAAGCACTGGACTGGTGGAACGGAACTCGAGCCCAAAGTAAACCCTGGAGTATTATGCAGATGTTCACACTGAAGAAGTTCAAGGAGGTCTCTTAGCTAGAAAGATTGCTAGTCTTGGTGCAACCAGGTTGCTCGGCACCAGCGCCGGAGGGGGTGCCCGTCATCGAGCGGGGACATGTTTGAGCCATTCCCGAGAACATCCCAGTCGACATTCTCCAATGGTGCTTTCCTCGAGCCTACAATGGCCCTTAAGAATTCTGAGTCGCCGCCGCTGCCAGCATCATGATGATGAGCATGTTGCAGCGAGACCATCATTATTGTCATCATGTTACCGTCGTACTGGCAATCATGATCACCGTCAGCTTTGTCGTCATAAGACCGAACCATGGTATGACAGTTTTACAACCATCAACGTCACAATCGCAACACGCTCGCAAGGATGAAGTTGTGCAGGCAAGCAGAGCCTTGAGCCTGGATTTTGTTTCTGCGAGGCGCACCACCAGTAACATCGCTACCACCAGCAGCTTCATCCAACACTGCGCTTCAAAGCCTACACTCCGTGTCATCAGTCTTTTGCGACACAAGTAGGGTTTGCTCGAAAGAACTTCCTCGGCCCGTCTGTAGTACAGGCTGTCCTGTCCCTGCTTCCGTTGCTACTTCGAAACACCCACTCAAATCTTGAGTAGAATGCCACCTCCTGCTACTATTACCATGGGCGGCCAGCTGATTTGCGTACAATACTTCCCTTCTGACACTGTGCAACCTGACAAACCCTGGAACCCGGGCTAGCAGATCCGATGGCTGCAACCCCGCGCACACACAGACAGACAAAATGCGAATGCAGTTGATGGATGGAGTTGTACATGTGTCTACCGTACCCCATCCTCCAAGACAGCAAACGAAGAAGCGCCGGGAGCCCGCACCGGAAGCTAGCAGAGGAGAGATGTATGCTCCAACCTCGCCACGCAGCAAACATCACTTTGGAAGGCAATGGCTGCAGTCTTGGCAGCTAGGACTTTGTCGAACAAGCTGAAAGCTCCTGCTTCCAAACCCTCCCAAGAAGCACCCACGGCGGGACCCACGGTATGAAGAAGTGGCTTGTCGCCGCAACCATTGGAGCAAAGGGCAACATGAGTCTCACACATGACTTGGGAAACGCAACATAGAGTTCAACCTATCCCTAAGTAGAGAAAAATCACCCCAAACCTACACCAACGCCCAACGCCTGGGGTCGAGGATGATTCGTTCCTCATTGCCCCTCTGCTTATTCCGAGGCTCGGCACATACCGCAGCACCAAGCTGCTGCACCACGCAAGTGTGCTGAGAAGTAGACAGCCCGGTTTTCAGGCCTACCGTCCGTTGCATCAACACAAATCTGGCAAGCAGAGTCGCATGGTGCATCCTGACCAAAGGTACCTTAACGATCATTAACCTGCTTTCTGCGAGGTTTGGTCAACGCAGCACGAGACTCGACAAGGCCATATCGCAGACTGCAGAGGTCTCGTCCAAAGTGACATATCAGGCTCCAGGATATCATGCCACATGCGACCCGGCACCAGGGAAAACGCAAGCACGCTGCATCTTTGGCAGCGATGCTTGCCGGCTACCCATGCAGCAAGCAAGACGCATCCTTGGTCAACGGAATTGGGCCACTGGAGACGTTGTAATCGTGCTGCACATAAGCAGGCATACTGACGGCATACCCCATCAAACAGGTATATACGCATTCTTGTTTGCTTCAACCCTCCAAGTTCTCCCCATCCTGTAACGTCTTCAGAGATGAAACACCGCCACATCATTTCAGCATCTTGAAACATACTAGTATCATCTGGGAACTACATGTACGATGAGCATCTGGCAGTGACTTGGTGCTGCCGCCTACACAGGCACAACGCGACGAGAAGTTGCGAGAGTTCAGGCAAGGATGAAACTAGTCCGTGAGCTTGCTCCAGCTGTGCCACCAGGACGCCAGTAATACCACCGCGAGTGCACCATAGCTCCAGGCATGCAGCTCCTGCAAGGCACTCCGGAACATCAGCAGAAAATATCCGTGCAGAAGACTGGCAAGAAGCGGGCATGTTTGCTTGCATTTCCAGTATGCAGAAAAGCATGTTCTTTTGTGCTGGCTGCCCTTCTGGTCACATTCTGGTCCTCGCTTCACCATCATTTACTATTGCTACTGTGGTTCTTGGTGCGCTGCAGCAAACATGATGTGGCCTGGTCGCGGCGCCTGAGGAGTCTTTGGAATGGGCAAGACGTCACCATTTTTGCAAGACCAGCCGAAAGAAAACATCTTGTGAACAAAACATGCGAACTGCGAGAAGTGTACTCGCCAAAGCTGTTTAGTTCAGTGGACGCCCAAAACTTGAAACGTCGGCTCTGTAGCGAATAGACACCGTCCAAGTGCAGGCTCTGGGTTCAGGCCAAAGGGAATGCATCCCTGCATGCATTTTGCTGGCATCTATCTGTGTGCTGCTTGCATGTGCTCCTTTCCGTGTGCAGGTTTGTGTCATTGGCTTGATGGATGGTTGTGAAGAGGCTTGTTGGCAAGTCGATCAAGAGCATAGTAGAAAAACATTCGCTCGTTGCTCTGTGGAGCAGGGGCTCTTTTCTTGAGAGAAATCAGCAAAGCTGTACTGCCCAGGAAACCATGATCTACGACACAACTTAGCCAGTCGTTGCCAGGAGCTCTCGCCTCCATGCAACCGTATGACCAGCTTGCAAAACCTACACTGCCAACCCTTAACCGGATCCCGAAAGTCTAACTCATGCGAGGGATGAATGCCAAGGCCAACCCAATCCATGGTGGTCCGACAGCATGGGAGCGCAGCGAGCCCCCGACCCCGCCGGCTTCCGTGGACTTTAAGCCCACAAAGGGCGCATCGCGAGAAGGTAGCACCAGCTTAGCACCAGAAAATTGCTGCCAGCTATGCTGGGGATGGAGCTGCGGAAGATGAGCTAAAAATTCAGTGCCCGTGTTGACCCGAGGGCCCAAGGTTTTGAGGCGTCGTGGTGCTTGGAGAATCAGCTGCTCTAGTGGTGAGGAAGCGAAGTACGTTCCAACAACGGGCATCACTGACTAGTACGAAAAAGCTCTTAAAATCAGCGTTAACCTTGGTGATGGCACGACAGGTATTCAAGAGCAGAGGCTTCAGCAACTTATCTTTCACACCCTTGTTGGATAATCGCAGCACGCTATGTCAACGAGCAGAAACCAAGGCCAGCGCGTGATCAACATCGCCGCGTACAGCCATAAGGCGTGAACGAAACTCCACGCACAGGCTTCACTGCCTCGCTGACTTGCAAACAAGCTAAAACAGTGTCTCCTAATAGTTTGGCACGGGCTGCTCGGCCACACGACTGGAAGAACCTAGAATGCAAAAAATGTCAGCGCCTGAATCAATGATGATGCTGTGCCCTGTGCTCGCGACTCTTCGAACACAAAATTATGAAAACCACCTTCGGCAGCAAAAGCATGCTCTGGCATAAAATCAAGCAATGCATAGTCCTCAGGAGGCAAGATCCAGCCTCCATCATCATCTTGCACATGCATACCAAGCTGGAAACACTCTGGCGCAGTCACAGAAATCATTCCTACATTGGGCCCATAATACAAAAAAGGATCATCCACGTCGAAGCGTTTAAAGGCACTGTCAAACACAACCCTCCCCAAAAAACACTCACCCGCACGCGCACGCACGCACGCACGCACACACGCACAAACCACACACACACACACATGCACATGCACATGCACATGCACATGCACGCACACCCACACAAACAGTGTACAACAGCAACCAAGTGAACAACCAGCAGCGCGGAGGAGCAGAGCTCTTGCAACGACTTCGCACGCCACAATGAGTGGACAACGGCTCTCTTACAAGGGCTTTCCACTCTTTGTGCTTCCAGAATAGAACCGGTGTCGCTCGTGACAGGCGGTTCGGTACTCTCTCCATATATTGAAATTGGATGGTGAACGTCTTTGCATATTTCAGAGTGCAATATGATGCACATGAGACGGTTCGACGGCCCCGGATACCGGTAAGCGGCAGAAGTGATTGTTGGTGAAACCAGCCTTAGGCCAGAACATCAAGTTCCTTACACCAAAACATTATGAGTGCATCTCCGGCATGTGACAATTAGTGCGCACTGGTCGCATGCCTTCGGGGTCAAATATCTGTACCGCCCTATGGCACGCCCAGCATTCCCGTGGATCGTTGCTCATTGTGGATATCCGGTTATGAGATATTGTACATAACTCCATGGGAATGTGCACGTCCAAAACGCTGCAAGTCTTAACCTCCGAACTACAAAGAAACAACACTCGAAGTCCTTGACGATCTCGGCTCTCAACTTGGCCAGCGGACAGCCACACTGACGGCCTCAAAGGGAGACTCATGACGACCTCACGAACCGACGTAAAGTTCTGACCGGCTTGCTTTCGCTTTGACGACCAACCGACAAGCCAGCAGACCGAAGAACATCGCAGAAGAAGTATGCACATGTTGATGGATCAATCTCGACCAAGCAGCTGCCAAGTCTCCGTCCGGAACCCCTGACAGTCGATGTGAGGAATGACAATGAATGCAAGGCATGCAGGGTCGTGAACTCAACCTTCCCTAAACCCTCGCCATCATGCGAAACATCAGCCCAAAAGTTCTGCGGGATGTTCGATCTGCCTCCGTGTTGAATTCGCCCGTCCTCATGTACCAACACTTCGCGCACACAGCTCCTGGGACCAGCCGGCGCACTGCAGTGCCAAACATCTTATTTCGACGGTCGAAACTCGATTAGACGTCCTACTGGCTGTGTACCCTTGCCGTTTCTTTCTACTTTGTACGTTTCAGGCGTTGGGGTTTCAAGCCTCCTCTGAGCGAAAGCTCTCATGCTCCAAGAATCTGCCTAAACACCAAACAGAACGACGGACTGCAGAAACTTTCTTGCTGAAAGATCCCGGCTAGGGTATGCTTGAGAACCTTGACGGATGCATGGGAAGCCCTGTCGGGGCAAACCGGCGCGAGCACGGCATCTGGTTCATCACACGATTTCCGACCCAGGATTCCATGACAGACCCCTCCCGGAACACTCACTGCACGTTGGTTCTCCTCCCATCGTAGGATGCCAGGTCGCAGTAGCCTGGTAAAGCATGTGTCTTCATTGCACGATCTTCGGGCGTGCGGAGACAGCTGCTTTGCTTAGATGGTGATGCCTGCAATATAGACACGGCCCCACATGCCGCTGCGGACTGCAGTTTTCAGATAATGCTCACGTGGACATTGATACAGTCGTGGCACTGGTGCTGGAGGCCGAAGAGGAGCCAGCGCTTTTGCTACTGATGTAAAAACTATTCCTGCTTAATGACGAGTGCGAGCGGCGACTGTTGCCAGTTGTGGTAACAAGACCAAGCAAGACCGCTGTGCGTAATAGAACCCGCAGGCTGCAAGCTCTTCCATTAATTATGTGATATCCCCATGCAGATATTGGTTCGTCGCTGTCTCTGTACGTGAACACATCTTCGCAGTTCTGCATGGGACCCAGACGCACGTCCAGGGCAGCCAAAGAACGCCCTGAAGGGAATTGCAGCTGCAGCCCGCTGAGGTCGAAGTCGCCTTGCCCACCTTTTCGGGATTCATGCATGTCGACGACATTCCGAATTTTCTCAAACATTCGGAGGAGAGCATGTTCGCGGATGAGTGCATGAGCATGAATTTCACGTTTCACGTTGCTCTCGTCTCTCAACAAAAATTCTCCGTTGATGTAGTATAAGGGACCATGTCGGGTGAAGCGCCCGAGAAGCGAACATCCCCGTTTTAGCGTCTCGTGTGCCGTCAGCTCAAGTTATGCATCCAGGTCCATCCCTCCTGATCCTCGTCCTCGTCACCCTCAATTAGTTCGGAACGATACCCGAACCCTTATGCCGGTCTTCCTTCTGCACGAAGCCTGACAAGCATGATATGGCATAAGCGACCTCGCACTCGACCCACGGCATGGGCAGTCTGTTGCGTGTAATACCACTTAGTCGGTCTTCTGTGAACTTCTGTGCCTTCAGTCGTCAACAAATTCACCATCACCGTCTTGGGGTTCGCAGTCGGAAGTTTGCAGACGCCTGCCGTGCCGGTCATACCTCCCCACCTCTTGCAATGGCAACAAAGCATTCCTGGCCGGTGCGGAACGCCACGTGGCCGGAGCGCATCGCGGGCACTGTCCCTGGCAAAGTGCAACTCGTGCGAACTGTGTAGTATCGCAAGGACTAGGAACACGACCAGTCATCTTTACTAGCTATAGTAGTCATAAACTTTCAGCACTGTAAGTCGGCCTCGGGTCCATACCTGCTCCACAGGAAGGCCACGGCACGCCTGCTTCGGCTTGCGCTTTTTTAAACTTCTTCTTTGGGTATTGCTGCCACTCACTCAGGAACGTGTATATAAGTGCTTCGGCAACAGCTGCGTAGCATTCAGCAAACGGCCACAAGAGCAGGGCTACGTCTGCCAAGGTCTTATAATCCTGAACTGAAGCTAGCGCCGTTGCAGCTGTCCGCTCTTGACTTTCAAGCGACATGGCAACCGCAATGATCTGCAATAAAGTAGCCAGGCAGCCGGTCAGTTGCTATTGCTGTGCGCATCGTGCTGGGGTCATCGGAATCCGTACGGTACGGAAGCCAACACTCGGTCTCTGGAAAATGCCGTGACAGCAAGTATCAGATTCTGGTCCAAACAACATGTTGACGACACCGGGCCGGGACAAGAAAGCATGCTACCAAGCTGACGGTCTTCACAGATGCGCACTGTCACAACTGGACAGATCGCGGTTTTGCCGGGACAGTTTGAACTAAGCCGTCTCAAAATCGGCAGTGGGAGCGAAAACTTGCCACGATCTGTCATGTTGAGCTGATTCCAAACTCGATTGCAGACTATTCTGGACATGCTCTTTCGAGACAGAGAACCTGCCAACCGAGACAAAGCCAACCATTTCCTACAGGAGTTTAGGGGAGTGTTGAACGCAGCTTTTCAAAGCGTCAACATTGAACCGCTCTCCGCCAGCCGTGTCCACAGTGGAAGCAAGTCCGTGATCACCATATCATAAATTTTGAATAATGCCGGGCAAGGGGGCCTTCCGAAACTGGAGCAGGCCCGCGACTCCCCGCCACCTCGCTTGAAGCACATAGCGGCACGGGGCAGCCGTGGGGAGCTTGGGCTATCATAACAACGTTAACGATTCTCTGCGCCGGTAGCTTCCCCAAAGCCTCAATAAAAACATACCAGGCGCAGAGCTCCACAGCTCGGTCATGCGGCACACTCCATCCCAAAATTCTGCCACAGATCCCACGTGCGATCCGAAACAACAATGATCAGACAGAGACAATTAGGGTAGCCGCTAGAAATGCTTGCAGCTCAGCCCGATAACCGAACCGTTGCCTGGACTATAGCAGGGGCTACACGGATGGTGACTTATCTAGAAGTACACTGCACAATAATTCAGTGGAAGTCGCCTGCAGTTGAGAATGACAAACAAGCCTAACCCTAAAAGCACCAGAACACACGTATACAGACTGATGCGTGCCCTGAATCCTCTAGCTGGTGCACCACAAGCCACACGAAACTTTCTCAGGCCCTTGACAGAACATGCGGCTTCGGTTTGTCAACTGCCGGTGGATGCTCGAGATTGCTGGAGGCATGCAAACAGGCAAACAGGACTGACCATGACTAACCCCTTAGTCACTTGCGTACCCTGCGCCCGACCAAGGACGGCGCCGGTGCTCACAGACCCACTGTCGACTGCTGCTCTCCTTTAAGGCTGACCAAACGAACAGGCAGGATGCGAGGCACAACTCGGAGTCTGTTTCTGCACCTATGTTTTGGTGATCTTGTGCTTTCTCGCTCTCTCGCTTGCTTCCTTGCAAGGTGTTTGGAGGCCAGAGCACGAGCACGAAGCCTCTTGAATGGAGTGGAGCCAGTGTGACCTCCCTCTCCCTCCCCTGACAGACGGACGGACAGACAGACAGGCGTACGAACACACAGACGTCCAGACACATACAGACAGACATACATGCATGTATACATACATACAGACATGGAGACCTTTAGAATCTTGTAGACGTACATCCGCGTAAAGACAGACATCGAGACATTCAGATATACATCCATGCAGACATGCATGCATATAGTCAGACATGTATTATTTACATACATACAGGCAGACATAGAGAAACTGACAAACAGATGTACCCACATACAGACAGATAGCGTGTCATAATAACAGCACCCTGTAGCAAACAGGCAAGCTGGCAGGCAGGCAAACAAACATACATATCACGGGGATGGAGGACCGAGGGAACAGTTTAACCCCTTCCCCCTCTTATGAAACACCACCCTAGTAATAACAACACATTGGGGCGAATCCTCCCGAAATCATCCCTGCCCTTTACAACCTATTCTGAATTAGGGGGGAAAGGGTTTCGAGGCTCGAAATACCCTCAGAGCGAAGCAAGAGTGAGAGCAACAGCAAAGAGCAAGAGCAAGAGCAAGAGCGGGAGTGAGAGCAAGAGCAGGAGCAAAAGCAGGAGCAACAGCAAGAGCAGGAGCAGGCGTTAGAGACGCAGCAGAAGCAGGAGCAAAAGGGAGCAAAAGCCAGAGAAGCAGCAAGAGCACGACCCCTCAAAAGTGACACTAGAGATAAAGATACCCGTTAATACTGAAAACACTTTCCGAGTTTCTATTGGGGGCAGGAGGGGGGCTCTCCCCGCCGTTTAATATCAGGGGGAAAGGATTAGCGCAAGTGGAAGCATTATTCCTCCTTCGTTCCTCTTTTCTTGTCATCCTGACGCCACTTTCCGACTTTTGTGCTGTGGTTTGCCCCAGTCTTCTCTCTTCTGGCCCTAGGAGTTGGTGCCAGCATCACTCCATCTATGTGCACGTGACTGCGCAAGCCATTAGCAAGCCCTGGCCTCCGCTGGCAAAGGAGTGCCGGTTGGTGTGGGCAGGCATTCCTGAAATTCGAACTTTCGGGCCCTATGATAGATTCAAGGGTCCAAGGGCTCCGAGTCCTGCGACAGAAACGGGGAAGGCATGCTTAACATAGGCATCTACTTTGCCCCTGCATCCCTGCAAGGCAAGGGAACCGAGCCAGATGCTGAGCCACAAACAATAAAGCCCTATCATTTGTCGCGCTCCCTGGTGGACTTGGCCAATCGTTTTGTTTTAAACAGGGTAGAAGCCGTGCTGGCCATGATAGTATCCTGAAGGGGGTGGCTATACGTGGAAGCTTTCGGGGGACGCCGATCGAAGGAAAGCGAACTTGGCCGCGAGCGTGTTGCGACTAGACTAAAGTACTCGGATAATAAACGGCCATCCTTACCGCTGGCCTTTATCTCGTTCTTAAGCAGGGCGGATTTGCGGATTCATGTCACAAATGTGCGGGGGGTCTCGTTCGGGCACACACTATACATATCAGCTGCATGCCATAGGGGTTTCATGAGGTAGCAGCAGTGACAGAAGCAGTAGCAGTGGTAGTCAAAGTACCAGTGGCGGTAGTAGTCGTAATTGTAGTCGTCGTCGTCGTCGTGGTCGTTGTCGTCGTCGTGAAGCCGATCTGGTGTAGCAGTAGTAGTAGTAGTAGTAGCAGCAGCAGCAGCAGTAGTGGTAATGGTGATTGTTGCTGTCTTAAATAGTTGTTGTAATTGTTGTTGTGGTATTCGTCGTCGTGGTCCTCGTCGTGGTAGTAGTAGTACCAGCAGCAGCGGCAGCACTAGCAGCAGTAGCAGTACTAGTAGTACTTTTCGTCGACCAGGCTGTCATAGACAGTAGTATTGGTGGTGGTGGTGGTGGTGGTGGTGGTGGGAGTGGTGGGAGTGGTAGTGGTAGTGGTAGTAGTGGTAGTAGTGGTAGTAGTAGTAGTAGTAGTAGAAGTAGAAGTAGAAGTAGAAGTAGTAGAAGTAGTAGTAGTAGTAGTAGTAGTAGTAGTAGTAGTAGAAGTAGTAGTAGTAGTAGTAGTAGTAGTAGTAGTAGTAGTAGTAGTAGTAGTAGTAGTAGTAGAACTAGTAGTACTAGTAGTACTAGTTATAGTGGTAGAGGTAGAGGTAGAGGTGGAAGTAGAAGTAGTAGTAGTAGTGGTGGTGGTGGTGGTAGTGGTAGCGGTAAGTTGGTACGTAGTATTAGTAGTAGTAGTAGTAGTAGTAGTAGTAGTAGTAGTAGTAGTAGTAGCGATAGTAGTAGTAGTAGTAGGAGTAGTAGTAGTAGTAGCAGTAGCAGTAGCAGTAGCAGTAGCAGTAGCAGTAGCAGTAGTAGTAGTAGTAGTAGTAGTAGTAGTAGTAGTAGTAGTAGTAGTAGTAGTAGTAGTAGTAGTAGTAGTAGTAGTAGTAGGTCGTGATGGTGGTGGTGGTGGCAGTAGCAGTAGTAATAGTTGTTGTAGGAGTGCTGATAGTTGTAGTTTGTCTTGATATTACTATTGCAATTATTTCCATGTGTAGTAGAAAGTTTTTCGCAGTGGAATCATGCCACTCTGCCACACGTGACGTTTCCAGCCACTGCTTCTATTCTGTAGTCAAACGATACATATATTGCTATACATGTAAGTAAGAAATAGTATAGCTATTACTGACCTGTACAACCTATCAGCATAAGTATGTACGACATCTACTATCTGTAGCCATCTCATTTTAACTTCGGTCCCTATCTCGTCCCCCAAGTAATACAAGCAGAACCTGCGTTACAGAATTCGTTCCCTCCTACACAGCAAGGACGAGGCCCGCGTTGCAGGGTATCTTGGGTGAACAGCTGAGGGGGTTGCCAATTATTTTTTCCGTCCTACCTAGCAAGGACGAAGCCCGCATTGCAGGGTACTGTAAATTGTGGCTTTTCGGGCTCGGCCACATGCTCGTAGCGTGTGCAGAGGCGCATGCTGAAACTGCATGGCTGCACCATGCAAGCTAGTAAAATGTGTGAGCTTGGCTCAGGGAGCTGTCTCTTTCAGTTTCCAAGCTGCGGTGGCCGAACCCAGGAAGTCAGTGAAGGGTGACCGGGGCATGCAATGATCGCCTCGGGTTCAAACAACTCCTCTATGACTACGGGGGCCAGGAGCCTCACAGTCTCGGCTGCAGTTCTACAATGTTTAATCGCTAAATATGCGTTCACTCCGTGGCCCAGGAGAATGTGTATGTTACGTTCGCTGTGCGGCTTGATGTCGTCAGCACTGGGCCTACAAAACTCACTCGGGAAAAAAACCGCGCTGCCTCAAGGAGCCCTGGATTCAAACTCATGACGGATGATGGGTGCAATCGGCAACAGACTCCCGAACAGGAATCTCGACTCGGCGCACGCGGCCCTATCTATCCACTCACAACAGCTGAGCCTTCAGAACAGTAACCACTTGATGCAAGCCCGAATCCTGCCCAATGCAACAACACAACTCGCTCCCGCAAGGTCGTGCCCTACAAGGGCACGCACCACTTGAAGTTCTAAACCCCCTGTCTTCGTGTCTCTGTCTCCCTACGAGAAAACGTAACGAGCTCCAAGGTGGATGCCGCTCTCGCAGCCAGGCGGGCCCTGTTCGATGGACTTCCAACTGTATCCTGAAAGGAATTGGGTCAGGTGTTGTTGTGACATGCTTGAAACCGAACCGTGAAGCCTCTCGTGATGCTTTACGCAAAACTACTCGAAAATGCTTCACCTCCAGACTTCAGGACACTTCGACAACCACAGCAACTCCGGCATGCTCCTCGGAGAATGTCAGCGCGTTGAGGAATAGTTGAAGCAAAGTTCATGAGTTCATGAGGCCATCTCAAAGGTGTGTTGGCTGCTCGGACTTATGCTTGTCGGTTCTCGGCCCCCCGAGCTGACCGCACTCCCACAACGAGTAAGTGGCACCAGGTGACCACTCCACAAAAGCACGGACACGGGGAACGGCGAGGCCATCATGAAGAGCTGCCTGGGGGGGAGGCAATCGAAAACGTAGGGCCTAGTGCCAGTTCCCCGTACCTTGGACTCTCTGGGCAAGGGTGTCAGCTGCTGCTACTGCCATCTTGAGCAGGGCACCCTCAAGTTACTCGCTCAGCCGGCCACAAGATTCACCGACTCGCATGGCACAGCATAGAACTCGTTCGAAAACCCAGGGTAACGACTTCACATGTTGGGCGTTCGACCCGGTCCGCGAAGCCTGGACCGGTCATGCTGCATGGAATCATGGAGTCATTCTGATCAAGGCGGGTGGCTGTTGATGGAAGGCCAGCCCATTCCTTGACAGGTTTGAGCGTCTCCACACATCAGATATGGCCTGTGACCAACATAACAACCTCAACAAGGATCGTGCATGCTAAAAGGCCGCCGACGGTTTAGGGTTTAGGGTATACCTGCTTTCACAGCTCAGATACACAAAAATACACCAGAACATGGCTTCATGCGCGCAGGAACGAACACCGAGAGCGCGAGAACGAGACATGATGCAGGCCTGCGAGCATCACAACTTAGGTTACCTGCTCTCTTGATGTAGCCTTGTTTGCTGCTGTACAGTTAGACTTTCATATACCGTGGTAGCTTTCAGATCCGTGCGTACCATGGCAACAACAAACATAGAAACAGTGGGGATCGTCGAGGTCGTCGTCGTCAAGGCAGCGCGAAAAAGTAGCAGTAGCACCAGAAATAGTAGTAGCAGAACAAGTAGCAGTAGCATTAGTAGTAGTAGTAGTAGTAGTAGTAGCAGTAGTGGTAGTGGTAGTAGTAGTAGTAGTAGTAGTAGTAGTAGTAGTAGTAGTAGTAGTAGTAGTAGTAGTGGTAGTAGTAGCAGCAGTAGTAGTAGTAGTGGTAGTGGTAGTGGTAGTGGTAGTGGTAGTGGTAGTGGTAGTAGCAGTTGCAGTAGCAGTTCCAGTAGTAGTAGTAGTAGTCGTCGTCGTCGTCGTCGTCATCGTCCTAGTAGTAGTGCTAGTAGTAGTTGTAGTCGTCGTCGCAGACCAGTAGTAGTAAGAGCAGCACCAGGAGCAGGAGTAGTAGTAGTAGTAGTAGTAGTAGTACTACTACTACTACCACCTACTACCACCACCACCAGTACTAGCACGAGTAGTATCCTAGTCGACAGCAGCATGATAATGGTGACTGCGAATGCATCGCGGCGGCAGTGGTTGCATCGCGGCAAGTAAGCGTGGTAGTAGCAAAACGGTAGTGGTGCCAAGGGCAGCGGCAGTTAGTTGTCGACTCCTCCACCAGAGGTCGCCATGAAAATTATTGGGCGCCGTCGTTGCTCTAGAAGTGCGATGGACAGAGTCACAAGGTCACACAGCAGCAGCACCGAAGCCAACTCTGAAAAGCCAAGCATCTTGAAGGTTGGAGTCGCCGGATCTGCCTTCGCGAGGGTGCAAGACCAAGCCCAGGCAAGCTCAATGCGGTGTAAACAGCCTAGATTGTTGACAAGGAAGAACTATAGGTCAACATGTTGCAGTCCCTGGTCCTGCACACATCCTCTCAGGCTGTGGCGCTGGAATTCAAAATATTCCTCAGAATTATTGTAGTAAAACTAACTGGCAGAAGACGCATTCTATTGCAGTCTCAAGGGTGTAGGGTAGGCTGAGAAAAGGCATATCCTCCACTCAGTTTCTCCCTACTAAGTTCGAGTCGCTGGGCCCGACGGACAAATCGCAACTTGCTTACCTTCGCCCTCAGCATACTGCCATGGAGCATTGTCGGTCCTCCCGTCGTGGAAGCCTAGCCAGGGTTCCAGTTGCAAACAAAACTCCAGTCTCCACCGCACATAAGCGCAAACTTGCAAATTCTCTATCACAGATGTGCCCATTCTGACAACAAACAAGGATGCATCTCATCCCGTCATCCACCATCTTCCCAGCCGGGCTGCAGGTGGAGTACAACGCTTCGTGCGGTGGGATGAAATAGTCTCCCCTGGAAAGCATGACCACCTCCAGGGTGGAGGGCAAGTTAGACACTTAGACTGGCTTCGCAGGGTCCCTTGGCAAATTTCGCGACAAACCGGGATCCTCAGATGATGGCTCGCACTGACAGCA